GTATAAATCAATATACAAAACTTTTTCGCTCATAACGATTGAATAGCCTCTACCCATGCTATTATGATTCATGCTTACGAAGTAATAGCTAAGTACTGCACATTAAAACTGGTATATCACGAGAAAGAAAAATCGAATCGCAACAATTGAAAATGAAATTTAAAGGGGACGAGTAAAGAGCGAAATACACCACACAAGCGGCTTGTCAAACATACTTTTCCCATTTTGCCATAGACCATGCAAACATGAGTCGTTCAAGCACAGAATTTTAGTTTTCTTTCGGTTAACAATGTAAAACATTTTAGTTTTCTACCATTATTCTCCCTTACGTCTTCACTTGGTGAAATATCAGTTGCAATTGAGGCGATTTTACCATCCACATCGCAAGCGGTTGGATCAAACGTCAACATGGCGGCCAGAAAATCAAAAAAATTTGGTTTTTTGCTCAAATTTCCCTCAAGCGGTTTGTCAAACCTTCAAACACCCCATAGACAGCACAAATGGCTTGAAGCAAAGGGAAATTTCGCTTGGTTTGTCAAGCCGCTTGTGTTGTGTATTTCGCTCTTAATACTAAATGATGCCCTAAGTAGAAATGAGCAAAAAAATTTTTATTTTCATAATAGTGGTCTTTCCTCAAATTCGTAAAAGCCTCGTAAAGCTCGTAAATTTACGAGCCTCGTAAGACAACTGTGAAAATTTGATGGAGCTCTATTTACGAGTCGCTCGTAAAATTACGAGACAAATTTTGATGCGCAAACGACCTCGTAAACTTTAGTGTTGCCGAGAGGCCGAAATTTCTGTACTAAAATGTATGGTAAAATAATGAAAATAAACGAAAAAAATTATAAGCGAATAAAATGAATGAATTTCATCCACTAGCTGTATTAATTTAGGTTTTTTGAAAATTTTCGGCATTTTTAATTGTTTCTAAGCCAAGAGCGATAGAGACAAGATGGCGGGGTGTTATGGAAAATACTACGAAACAAAAATTACTTCACAAAATCCTGCCTGATCAGTCACTTTACGTAATTATTTACACCTTTTCTCGCGTTCCCATAAAAGCCTTGTAAAGTTACGAGTTTTACGCAGTTGTAAGACTTTACGAGCTTAAGGGAATCCCTTAACTATAACCTCAATTAGCCAGATTTGGATTCAGCACCAAAAAATCTACAAGAGTCGATAAATATTTCAACTTATTTCATGTTTTAACTATATATGAGAAATACGAATTCAGAAAAAAGCACTAAAAAAGGCACTAGGCACTAAACCTATTCTTTTGGAGTTTTCATATACAAAAAGCACTAAATCTAGTGCTTAAAGCACCAAGTTGGCAACTATGGTCGTAAACTTACCAGTTGTACAAGGTTAAAGACTTTATGAGTTAAAGGGAATCCCCTAAATATATATATATATATATTTGTGGTTTTAAAACATTAAAATCGAAGGATTATATCTTTGGCCATAAGCAATAACCGCCTAAGTCGACTATCGTATTCTGCAACTTCTATTCCATCTGTATGTAAAATCCCCATCTCGCCAGCTAGGCTATCTAAAAAGAGATATAAATGGACATGTTTTGGTTTGGATTGTAATCCAAGAGCGGGTGTGAATCGGTAACAAAGTTCGCTGCGAGTAAATTTTTGACAAGTATGAGGTGAATAAAATTTCACTAGTTCATGAGGCTAGTGAAATTTTTGACAAATGTATAGAAAATTTTTACAACTGCAAAAATTGTTGACGTGTATAATTTGTTTGCCCAAATTTAAGTAAAAACAATGAAATAGTAGGAAATGCGGCCTCTGGTGGCAAAAATTAAGAAGTATTACACTATATTAAATATTTCTTGTAAACAAATTTATTTAATGTTTTAAAAGCTTTAGTTGATTAAAATTAAATTGATCAAAAGCTTAAATTGATGAATTGTAATCAATGATGGTAGATTTTTTTTTTATATTTATTTCACTTCAGTTTACAGTATTTTTTTCTGCGGTTGTCAAAAATTTACTGCTGTTACAAAAGATTTCAATTCACTCAGCAGATTGGCAAAACTGTCTCACGATAGTAAAAATATCAGTCACCAGCGTTCGCCACAGAACTTTGCTACCGATTCACATACGCCCCAAATGTTCAAAACGTTTTTTCTCGAATTTAGGTATTTCGATTAAGCGGTTATTGCTTATGACCACAGATATTTTGTCAATACAGTAAAACCCGCTTAAGTACCTCACGAAAAATTTCAGCTTTTTGAGGTACATAGGCGGGTTGGGTACTTAAAAGGACCCGCTTAAGTACCTCGATGTGGGTACCTCGTGTGCGGCAATTCACAATTAAAAAACAAATTAAATTCCTTAGTACTGTTAAGTGGCTCATGTCTCTAGTCCTTTCTAATACGTATCTAATCATTAGTTAAGTTACTTACTTAAAGATTATTACAGTAAGTAGTAAGGATTTGACATGGATTAGACAAGAGTTAGAGACGCGAGCCACTTAACAGTTGCCCGAGTTTTTATTTTTTGGTGCCATTATGGCAGAGTATCATCGATATGTAGTGGTATAGGTCGTACTCAGTGATGCCAGACATTCTCTGTTAAATTACCCACGAAAATCTGAAAAAAATCCCTCAATTACCCACATCTTAAAAATGTATCCCAGAAATCTGGCATCACTGGTTGTACTATCGTAATATGTACATATCTTTACCTTAATTCACAAAGGCCCTAACTAACAAATTTTTTTTATTTTACAGGAGAAGCAAACAACATTTTAAAAAGAGTATCAAAAACAGGTACAGCTTTTTTAAAAAGGGGTTGGTAACTCCGTTGTTTTTGGTACTAGCACTTTAAAATTTTAATTGAAGGTGTACTTTAATACCTCCTCCCAAGTTCTGCGAAAAAAAACGCAGTTTCGAAAAAAGTATTGGTTAGGGCCCTTGTAAATTAAGGTAACGATATTTATAAAAAATCTATTTAAAATGCTTCATAATCAACAAATATGCCATTTTAAAGCTTTCTCATCATATAAATCGAGGTTTTCTTTATGAATAGCCTTATTTACCAAACTATTACTTCACTTTGTATATGTACTATTTACCTTATTCGGGTGGTGGCTAACGTTCA